CTGCTGTATAGTTGTAGAGAATAACTGGTAGATGGGTCTCCTGAGACCTAGTGACATGACGGTCTGTGCTAATTTGAACCAATAGTACGCACACGGACAGCAGTAACGCAACGATACAGACTCTGCAACGTGGCAACGCACACTATTGATTTATATGATAGTAAGCGCTCCCTAGCTTATACATGACACTCACAATAAAGGTTCAAATAAATTGGCTGATGAGACCTTGATACCATCGAACGAAACAATGAATCCAACTAGTGTTCGTAAGGTAATGCTGCTGGCAGCAGCCTCAATTGGCATATTTCAAAAAAATATTGGAATGGTGTATGCTGAACAAGGGATCAAATCTTTGATCAATGGAGCAATCGGAACTGTATCAAGATATGCTTTTGAAGCCAAAAAGATAGAATACAATAGCGAGAAGGATTTCGACCCTGAAGGTGAAATGGAAAAAACAATAGAGCTAAAACCTGGTGATTCGTTGAAGTATTCATGTGGGAAAACAGGCGCATCCTCCATGGGAGCTTTCATGCTAGTACCAGCCAATCCCAAGACCCATATACTATCACCAAGGGGAAACGATCCGATAGATGTTGCATCAAATCGTGTCCAAATCAGCTATAATGTATATCGTTCGAATCGCGACATCGTTGTAAGTACATTCCAGAAGTTGGGGCTAGATCATCTACTAATCGATTATTCAGAGGATACAGTACTCATGGCAAGAGACCCGGAACAGTTTAGCATCAACCTATTGTGTACATATGTGCCATCTGATGTTAAGGCTATGCCGAAGCATAGGTGGTTGCAGATCAAATTCAAAAACGTATTACCCATGGCATTCGGATGTGGAAGCGCAGGGTTTAATATGTTCAAAAATGCGACGCCGATACCGCTCCTGGCGACATATGATCAACTTATCGAAGCTACGAAATGTAAAGTAGATGCCGAGCCTGGTATGGTTGTTGGAATATATTGTGCGAAAAGCGATCACGTGTACCCTGAGGACTGCTTCAGGCAGGTTGAGGAAAAGGAGAAAGTAACGACGATAAGTGGTCTCCGAGATATTAGTTTCCCATACTATAACTTAACCGGTAACATCAGGGTAATGAAAATCGGGTCTAGCATACAACAATTCGATAAATCCTTTACGTGCCTATGCAAGAATGAACAGAACCAAACCACGGCGGTGTTGAAGGTACGAGTTAAAAAAACAGAGACTTGCGATTACACCAAGACATTGAAGGTTTATGCACAAACACGTAAATGGCCTAGGAATGTATGTTACAAGACCCTGGAACAGGGCAAGACGATTAGGATTATCGTAGCAAAATCGGATGGATTAGTTAACCGTAGCCTTGCCGTTGGAGGTTTATTGATTTACCCGGAAAACACTACCGCATATAACTATATGCCCATGGATAAGGTTACACGTCTCAAAGAAACAAAAATTTCACATGTTATAGGAAGCACCGGGTTATCAATTAGTAAGCGTGAAGAGAAAAACAATTACATTTATGACTTCACAATATCTAGTGACGCCGTTGTGGTACTTAAGCAGCCGATTGCAAATCTGACTTACGTCTACGAGTACTATAGTATGTTCAACGCTGTATTGAATAAATACAAGACCCTAATCTCTATTGGCATAGTACCTACAGACCCCTATACCCACGGATGTGGAGCTGGAGGTCCCGATATTTTCAATCTGCAGGGAGTTAATGTCGAGAATGTCCATATCAAAAAGGGGCTCTCTTACTACACCCAAGTGAAGTGTACGCTAAATGGTTGGAAGAGTTCACCGGTAGGATTTTATTGCCCCAAGGACCACGTGCTAGAACCCGAAGGTTGTTTCAACAGTGCATTCTTGGCATCAACTAATCGTGCAGTCAGGTTAGATTTCTACGCTCCACAAGCTCGAGTGCTCAATTCGCCTAACCTACGCATTGTAGACTTCACCAAGCCAATGTTCATGAAGTCACGCATCAAGTACTCAAGTGAATCGTTAGAATGCAGGTGCAGACGCAAAGACGGAGCACTTATGGCCAGTATAACCGTTGACTTGCGTGACCCACGACAAATTTAATACGATTGAAACTTAGTGCACAGTGCTTTATACAAAAACTGTTGTAAGGTGACACACGAATATTAGTTGCATAAGTAGCTACCATAACGATAGTATTCCACCTATAATTACACTATGGAGCAATGTGTAGCTTTTTAACCGTTGAGGGAGAAGATACTTTATAGATGTATTTAAAATGGCAGGAAGCGGGCCATTCATTGCTCATGCAGCAGTACCCATGACATATGTATTTATTTTCGATGCAAAAGTAGTTTATATTACACCAGAAACGGGGCCTGCAGCTTTCAAGCGCCGCTATGGCTACATGTACAGCGTCGCTTGTGGTGGATCGATTGATTCCACACCCAAAGTAGATTTGATTACGCAAAGTGAGTAATATTCTGTTTAGTGTTGCAAAAGAGTAAGTAACTGTATCGATTATTTGACTTTTAGCCCCCGCCACAGTCTCTGTTATGGTGTGTCAATGCGCTGAGAGGACCTGGGGATTCGTAGCGTATTGTATTTATAATTTCTATTAAAGTTATGTTGACCTATAAGTCAGTTACTGCATATTCCTATGATATTGGTCGATTAGCAACAATTCTGTGAATTTGTTAAACATCTAAGCTACAATAGCATGCTCATGCATAATACTACGATGGTGATTCAACGTGGCGGTTAGGGTGTGCCAAATATTGACATGCCACTGCCATTCTACATCCTAGATAAGTTGTCTCGTGACTCAGGAAAGCAATAAACTCATTGAAGAACACGGGGTACATTATGGACACGAATCACAGAACACCAATTCACGCTGCAAAGCAGATCGCCCCTTACACCGGACGCTATAACCCGTAATGGCGAAAATGATGGCATCTAAGCGGGGTCTACACAGCTCGCGAACGCTCACAGCAACCAAACGTTCATCGGTTACATGGGTGAAATGTTGTCAACAACCTACGGATGGAGCCCGGCAGTTACAGGGAACCGAGATGTGAACGGTTGGTTCATCGGTACAATTGTGCCTTGACTAAGGTGATTGCTGTGCAATTTTAGTCCAACTGTTTCCCGTGAGTGGAGATGGGCGCAAGAATGCCGAAGAGAACCTCAGGTAATGAAGACTCTAATGAAGACTAGTGGCTTATCAGCACTGCACTTGGGGCGTCCCAAGTGCGACCCAGTATTTTAGGTTCCGAAAACCACCTTGAAAATGGACCATACCGTCAAGGAGGAATGCAGGTGAGATGAGAGGTAGGTAGGTGATATTGCTAACGACCATCTATACTATACCGCGTGGATGGGGCTGAATGTGGAAGAAAATGAAACAATGTGGCAAGGAGTAGCGTCATTTGATATTGCATCAAGCTGCTATTTAGGGCTGCGGTTCCCCTTTTTCGGTTACATACTCTGCATTTCAGCAGAGAGCCTCGAGGGAAGGAACTTGTGAAGTTGCATGTTCCATTCCGGCAACTTTGTGACAATATACGGAGAGTGCGGACTGAATCATCGCCAGTTTTAACTCCATATCTACTTCAACATCGGCAAGTGGTCTACTGCATCATCAGCGTGCGTGAACCTGGCAAACACCTTTATCGTATAACCTGCTCAGAAGATGGAACTACTCAACAAATTCGTTAGGGGCACAAGTGGAATGCCTATCACCCAACTCTCACTGCTGCTACTCGGAATCTTGATGAAGGTAGTGAAGGCCGCACTTGAGGAAGCCGGTGAAGAAGTTGGTCAAGAGATAGCCGAATCACTTCCAGAACCCGTGGAGACCATATCCAACAAAGTGGTTGAGAATGTAGTTCAAAAGGATGGCGGCATATCTATTTTAGGAAGCCGTTTTTCGAGGATGGAAGTTGCCTTCGGAATTCTCGGCATACTGATACTAATACTATTCATCGTCGCCGTCCACAACTTTAATGGCAGTACCGCCTCTTGGGCATGTATGGCGTTAGAATTTATTCTTTTACTTCCATTCCTCTACTGCGCCTATCGCCTACATCTCCTCGACCGCATCATAGGAATGTTTAAGCGCACACCCAAGCACATTGCCGCCGCTGATAATATCAGACACAACATACAAGATTAGCCCGCCGAATCTTCGGAAAACTCTATAGAAACGGATAGTTGATATCTAACGCAGTCTCATTTCTAAGGACGTCAAATCGCCGTATAGAGGTCTGGGAACCTGATCACGCAGTTTGGGCATCTAACTTTCTCAAATATTTTACTCTATGTGGTTAATATAATCATCTTTGCTTATTATTTGCACAGCAGGTGAAATCAAGCTTTCTAGTATTATGTGCATATTGTTTCCAACTCCTTTGTATGATGTATATAATTGCTGCATAGAATTAGTCGGTAGAATATTACTGTCACAAAATAGCAACGCAATATGTGCGCTAGTTAGCCTAAATAGACAGGAATAGTGATAAAACTGTTGCTGTTGATATCACGGGGGGAAATGGTGGCCCATAGGCACTTTAGCAGATGACTCCAACATCGTTAATATCTGGCCATGTCTATATATAGTTGTTCCGTTCACTATAGGAGATTACTCGGGGTGTCTACAATGGTTCATTTTGGCCTTCTAGCAGCTCTTCGACGGGCATTTATACCCGTATGTAGACATCTAAGGAAGTGCGTCAAGCTAATACTTTTGAAGGCGTCATTGAGTCGTGTGGGTATTCTAAGAATGTACGACGTTCCTCGTTTATTTTTATGGAATCAATGGTGAATATATGCATTCACATGTGGAACTGCCATGATATTACCGTGATTCCGCCAGTATAACGTCAACTTCTAGTATTCGGAGCATTGAGTATATCGCCCATTACCAAATTTGGGCCGCGAATGATGATGTGTCATATATTTAGTGATTTTCTCAACGTCACCAACACTGCTTGCATTCGAGACATGGAGAGAAATGTGCCGTAAACGTGTTGCAAACGTATGTCTATACGCAAGGTGGCCCGTGCAACTATGAATCTACGGTGTTGTTGGATTCCAGTAATGTGATGCTCTATGTTCAATCTATATCATTTGTTGTTTTCATAGTCATTTGTCTACATTTTTCGAAAATGGCGTTACTTTGCCTAATCAACACAATAGTGTTGGGATGGATGACTATGCTGTGTACATGTTCCCCTACTCCAGCAAAAAATAATTTAGGGCGAGTATTCGATGCTATGGCGAAAGAAAGCGCCATTGATTACGGTAATGTTGGGCTTCGAGAGGTGACCCTTAAACCAACGGACATTGCGAACTTCATTTGTGGTCCAAGTAAAAGAAAACAACATGGTGGAGTATTTACACTGTATCCCAGTGATCCTCTGACCAAGACATTAATGCCTCTTACTGGTGGTGATTTTGAAGATGCAGTTACAAAGGAAGTTCTTTTGCGAGATCTATTTCGGAGTGTGGATTTACGTATAGATTACAACATGGATCAAGACGAAGATGCAGATGTTTTCGTGAGAATCGAGTACCCGATTAATGCTGTATTGATGGCTAGGGATCCTAGCAACTTCAGTCTAAACTACGCGTGTAAGTATCAGCCGGATGACAAGAGGCTGCCACCTATATACAGGTGGTTTAGGATAGCATTCAAAAATGTCTATCCCATGGCGTATGGATTTGATACTGGTAATAACATGTTGTTTAAAAATTCGGCGCCACGAGAACTGCAATCTACTAATGTCGTAGGGCCGAGCTTTTACACTGTCTTTGTGGAACCAGGGATGATCGTTGGCATCTATTGTCAAGCGGGAGAACGTTTGGAGCCCAGCAACTGTTTTGATAAGGATGAAATTGCGAAAATGGGAGATGATATTGTGCCTTACATAGAGCAGCCAGTTGGACTGATAAATGCGCAAGCCCGTGATGTAACCTCTAGACTCAGGGTATTCAAAGTAGGAGAAACGGCTAAAAAAACTATCTTGCGTTCATGCTCATGCGTCCGTCCCGATGGAAACAGGAAGGTTGTACGTTTCGCGTACCGTGTCGGTGAGATGTACCTTAATTCCGCTGAAACTGTCTTGACTCCTCCAGTGAAACGTAAAGGGGTGCGGTTTGTGTTATCTCTGATGCAGGTAGGAACCAGATCTATCACGGATCTTCCTAACGATGGTTGGGTTGATCTTGGTCAATTGGGAAAGGTAGGAACGAGATTAGCGCCGGAAAATCCAGAGCTCAATACCTTCAATGCATCTCCCATGGGACCGAATCAAGCAGTTGCTATAAAGAATGCGCTTGGCTTAAGAGGTGTTCATTTTTCTATGGAGAAGATTAAAAACGGAAGGCGTCATATCGTTGACTGCGCGGAAGATGCGTTAATCATATGTAAAAATGAAGTGAAATTAATATACTACGATTGGGTACTTAAGCGGCTGTTTGGTGAATTTCATGTTGACACCAACTTGCGTGTACTATATCATATTGTGCCAACTGACCCTTACACCTATGGTTGTGGTGTTGACAGCGAAGATTTGTTCCAAAAAAGCGGATTCCAATTATCAACTGGCGCAAATAACGACGGTGTTACGGAGTGCAAAGTCAACCCTTACGTAACTAGCCCCGTTGGATTCTACTGTCCCAAAGGTTACACTTTAGAACCTGCAAACTGTTTTGAACAGATGACTCGCGTTGGTGACAACAAAGAAGTGTCATTGAGTGATTACGCAGATCACGCAAGACCTGTTGAAGGGAAATACATTAAAGCCGTTGATTTCCAATTCTCTGAAATGATGAGTCACCTTATCAAATACACGGATGAGGAACTCATGTGCCGATGTGTTGATCAGTATGGCAAAGTACGGGCGGCCATCACCTTAGACCTACGTCAGCCTATTGATACCCAACAGGTTGAAGAGGCCCCTGCCGCGGTAGCTCCAGCAAGTTAAACCTACATTGTATCAGCTGGAACCTAGCTTCAATGTAATGTAATCCTATTCATGTATATCTGTATTCACTACTGTCTACGGTCTATTGCGCCGTTGCTTTTAGCTTTAGCCGTGCCAGGTTTGGTTCATATTCTGGAGCATTATATCAACTATAGAACTTATACTCGTCTATCGTATGGTGTACTTACGTAATTGAAACGCAGTAATCGCGTCATGACATGAAAAATGTCGGAGTAAATCTAATTTCTATCCTGATCATTGATCAGAGGCGTTGCCCTTACACATTAGTTAACTACGGCGGCCATAGACTTCAATATTATATATAGAACATAAAATGAGGACTGCAAGTTGATATCGTAGTCCTGCTGCTCGCATACACATTGCGTACTACACATACAAAAGGACGATGGGTCGCATATGAACAGCTATGAAGGCGCCAGAAACGTGTTTTATATATCTATCAGATGCGAGAAATTTTTTGCTGTCAATCATGGCTTAGTTAACTTATGCAATGTCGAATGTCGCTAAAATATCACAAAGGTGATGATATGACGTTCAGAAAATCCTAGGAATTTACTAATAGTAGCACATAGTGGCGTTTTATTATAATTTTAATGGATTATGTAATTAAAATTCTCATGTTTGATAGAAATTAGGATGAAACTCGCTCTTATTCTCGCATTTCGTGCCCCCTGCCAATGCAAATTATTGCTTGCACAGGTATAGAACTAGAGTTGATTCCGATAACAGCATTACGAAAAAATATATACGCTGGGATGGTGTAGTCTTGTGACGCCGAAATATGTGAAGAAGCAGTATGAACCGCAATGGAAAATATGTGAATTCTTACGAAAATTTACAACCAAGTTCCTCTGCGTCACTAATTTCCACTGTCACTAAGGATATCTCAAATGGCGAGAATCTGCCAATACGATCTCCATAATTATTTAATATCAAACTTTCTATCCACCATGATGCAAAAAAGCAGTACTCCGATCTAGTTCAACGAACTGGTGAAACAGATGAAAAACGTGATTCCTGAATTGAACTGTGCTTTTTTGCTAATTTTGTTCCTTATAACGAGATATTGGCTTAATCAGCTGATGTAGACAGCACGAAAAGGAAGTGACTAAGCTTAAGATTGAGCCATTAAATTAAAAGGTCAAGGTTCTCGCTTCGACATACTCCTTACACCCGTACATAGTAAACATTTTTAAGCTCTATAGAGTTATAACCCCTTATGTGGCACGTAACGCTAATATGATGGCTAAAATGAAATCAATCGTAAGAAACAAGGTCTGAATTAGCAAAAAAACGCCAAATCAAAAACCAGGTGGTGGCATTGAATCTAAGCCATAATTTGGTGCTACATTAAAACAATTGAAATCTCCATTAAATCTCAGCGACACCCATATAGATATTTTAGATGCGTTATGACTATGCCTGAAATGAGAAACTATGCGGGAAGCTGAACTCCGCAGGGCTTGCTAACATTCTATTGCTTTTAATTATGATGATCACTTTTGTTGTATTAGAGATTATCTAGCGATCCTGCAGTTGGTAGAACCGTAGATACGCCATGGTTATGCTTTATACAACGTACGCCACTGTCAGAAGCATGTGCAAATCGGCGATTGGGCTAATTGAGCTACACGTCGTGTATGCTAATGGACTCACGAGACACAGGCACGTGGTGACGATGAGTCGTGAAAGTATTTTGCGGGCAGGTCCGCTGTAACTCGAAATCATTTATAGAGTCAAGAGTAAACATAGACGTAGGTAGAGGACTTTGCCCAAAATGCTGTGATTCCATGAACTTAACGTCGACTTCTACCGTTATATATGGTTGCTATAGTTAATTTATAGATAAATTAACCATAATACCATGTTACAAGTTTTATTGTGTGCTTTCTAAAGCTGTTCTGGCGGTTTTAAGTTTCTAGACTCAGACAGTATTTCGGCGCAGTTTTGCTTTAAAACGTTGTCTAGGATCGACTTTGCACGTTCAGTTGTGGTCCAAAAATGTAGTTGGATTCCAATGATCTGAAACTATAGGTTCATTCAGAATTCTTTTATGCTTCTATGGTCCCCTGTTTCAAATTTTCTGAAAATGGTTATATTTTGCCTCTTAACCCCAATCATATTGGGATGTATGTCTTGTCTATGCACAGCCGCTCCTAAACGACGTCCGGAGATACCTGTTATTATGGTGAATTGGTCAGAAGAAGTTGAAATGTACAGAAATGATTCTCCCGTGTATACTGTTCATCTTAAGCGTCCTAAAAAGCTAAAATTCATTTGTGTAGCGAGTGATGGTGGCGCTAGTGGAGAATTTACAATGTATCCCAGTGATCCTATGTCCAAGACATTAATGCCGCTTGAAGGAGATGATATCGAGAAGGCCATCACTAGGGAGGTGCCGTTGCATAGTATCGTTCGCACTAGCGAGTTGAAAATGCAAGTAAGCAAAAACAGAAATGGGCCAGCAGTTTTGCGAATGAAAAATGATTTGAATACTGTAATAATGGCTAAGGACCCTGAAAATTTCAGTCTTAACTACGCCTGTAAATTCCAACCTAAGGATAAACGTAAACCGGCAATTTATAGATGGCTCAAGGTAACGTTTGACCAAGTCTACCCTATGGCATTTGGATGTGAAAGTGGCGACGACCTGCTTTTTATGAATTCAATGCCTAGGGATAAGAAAAAGAATCAAGGAGGCAAATCTCCAGATTGCCGTCTAACGGCCGAACCTGGCATGTTAGTCGGAATGCACTGCCAAGACGGTGAGAGAATGACACCAGAAATTTGTGTTTCAGACGAGGTTTTCAAGGCACTCGATGGCGCCTTTTCTCCCTTCATTCCTTCTTGGCCTGCAATGCCCAAAACACGAGGCTATAGGTTACCATCTAGATTTAGACTATACAAAGTGGAGTCTAATGCTGGAGATAAAAATTTTAGGTTGGTATGTCATTGTACCAGCGGGGATGTAATAAAGAAAACAATGGTAATTCAAAATGTAACACGCAGTCAGTCTGATTTGAAAGCGCTACTCGGTTCTCCAAGCCTCCATCCGGAACCTTATTTCACACTAATGAATGATTTGGTACCCGGACTTACGATGAAACTTATCGTACCGTCAGCTGGGATCATCGACCTGGGTAACTTCGGTCGTGTGTCCGCTGTGCTATTACCTAAGGACCCAGAGTACAATGCATTTCATGTTCGAGGACATAACGATGCCGTGAATCTCGAAATTAAGCAGTTATTTGGAGCGAAAGGCGTTGATATAAGCTATGATCGAAACAAGAATCATAATACCTACACGTTTGATTACAAAAAGGACGCTGTAACTGTTGTCAAGGGTAACGTACCATTTATGTATCATAAGTGGGACATATCACCAATAAATAATAGGAAGGGAGGGCAGACAACTCTATCATTGATGTACAACCTAATTCCAACTGACCCTTACACCTACGGGTGTGGTGTGGACAGCGAGGACTTATTCCACAGCAGCGGATTCCAGTTATCAACTGGATACGAGAATGACGGCGTGACAAAATGTAAGGTTAATCCACATTTAACGAGCCCAGTTGGATTCTACTGTCCGGAAGGCTTCATACTAGAGCCTGCCAACTGTTTTGAATACATGACTCACAAGCGGGGAAATAAAGTGGTGCCATTGTCACATTACGCACCTCACGCAAGAGTTACTGAAGGACCACACATTAAAGTAGCGGACTTCCATGTGCCTATTATTATGAAACACACTATAAAATATGGAGATCACGAGCTCATGTGCAAGTGTATGGACCAAGATGGTAAACTGCGTGCGACGATCACACTGGATTTGCGCAATCCGTCGGACTCATATGTCGAGGCGGAGTACCCCGAACTAAATGCTTGAGTGATAGTTATATTTATATAACTGACTTAAAATAGCGCTTTAATATAACTTAGTCCATTGTCATTAAACTGGCGAGCTTGGCGTTTGCCTGTTTCATATCTAGTAGCAAGTTGTTGAGGCTGTTGTACACCTGATGCTGAGGCGTCTACGATATGCAGGGACCTACGTCATGTGATGAGTCTGCAAGGGCGCAGAGTGTACACTAATGTATATCGAAACATTCGCATGTAGTTTGTTACTTTTGATCACTATGGGCTTAATTTTTATACGCAAAAGTATACTGATGAACCAGAATGTTTAGTATCAAAGCATAAATGCGAATCCTCAAGCATACCATGCGCATCAGTGAACCAATAATTTACCACAAAACGTAGAGTTAAGGCTCATATAGTACAGTTATAATTGTTGAACATCGCGTAATTTTTATATTAGAAAATGGTTTTCTTTACTTTCTTCAACCCAATAGTCTTGGGATACATTGTTACACTATGTGCTACATTTTCTGCAGCTCTTGGACCTTCACCACCTACAATGATAAATTGGTCGGATGAACGCAATATGTTCTACAATGCGCCAATGGAAATTGTATCTCTTAAACCTTCGAAAGAGCTAATATTTTTTTGCTTATCGAGTAATGGTGGTGAAAGTGGAGAGTATACCATGTACCCTAGTGATCCCATGACCAAGACTTTAATGCCACTTGAAGGAGATATCGAGGAAGCCGTCACCAAGGAAATGCCCCTACGCAATGTACTTCGTACAATTGATTTGAAACTGAAGGTGAATAACGGCACAAATGGTCCGGGGACCTTAAGTATCAAGTATAACTTGAATGCTGTGATAATGGCTAAGGATCCTGATAATTTCAGTCTGAATTATGCTTGTAAATTCCAACCGAAAGATGAGAGTAAGACACCTGTTTACAGATGGCTTAAGGTGATATTCGACCGTGTTTACCCTATGGCCTATGGCTGTGCGAGTGGTGAAGAGATGCTATTCAAAAATTCAACACCGAGTTATGAAAGGATTATTCAACGACGTAGGACCGTTTGTGAGACCAAATTAGAGCCCGGCATGATCTTTGGTATTTACTGCCAACCCGGTGAACGTTTGGAGCCCGAGAATTGCTTTTCGAATGAACATCTTGCTGAACTTGGTGACGCCATCACGCCATACCATCCTCATGGATTAGTATCATTACATGATCCGGAGTATACTGTGCCATCTAGGTTGAAGCTCTTCAAAGTGTCGAATCAAGGACTAAATCGCGATTACTACTCCACTTGCTCCTGTGTAAATTACGAGGGTCTAACTACTACCACACTTGCCGTAGAAAATACTAAGGAAGAAATTAATGACGTCACTAGAGCAGCTGAAAGCTTCGAGCCGTCCAATAACCCTCCTGTTCGAAGCGTCTTACATTACCTTGAGGCAGGCAAAAAGTTCACAATTAAATATTACCCCGACAATAAACCTCTGATATCTGGCAAACATAAAGCTGTACCGCTTCTTTTTCCAGTGGATCCCGAGCACTATGCCTTTAACGGGGCGCCAATAGCTACGAATAAACCGATGCGAATCGATGAGATCATGGGAACCAAAGGTGTGGATATAAGCTACAAGGAAGACAAGGGTAAAATGGCCTATACGATAAAGCTCAAGAAGGATGCCATAATCGTTAGCAAAACGGACATACCGTTCATGTATTATAATTGGAGAGTGGTGAGCGACATTTGGAGCAGAAGGTTGTACGGAACAGTGAGAGTGCAGTTCAGCATCTTACCAACTGACCCTTACACCTATGGCTGTGGTGTTGATAGTGCTACGTTATTCCGTGATAGCGGCTTTCAAGTGGCCTACGGAGTGAAGAACGTCGGTGTGACAAAATGCAAGGTCAACCCTTACTTAAGAAGCCCAGTTGGATTCTATTGTCCCAAAGATTACACTCTAGAGCCTGCAGACTGTTTTGAACACATGATTAACAGCGGAACTAATCACATAGTGCCTTTAAAAGACTACGCACCTCACGCGAGATCCATAGAAGGGAATCACATAAGAGTGCTCGACTTCCACGTACCTCAAATGATGAAGCGTCTCATAAAGTATACGGATGAGGAACTCATGTGCAGATGTATCGACAAAAAGGGTAAACTTCGTGCCACTATCACTCTAGAACTTAAAAAACCGAGAATGGTTGGGAATTCTTGGAAATCCCTCGTGACAGCGAGAAGACTTGCAGCATAATATGTATCTATCTTTCTGCTCTGCTAAATGTATAGAGCGAGTGAACTTTGACAATGAATGTAAGAAAGTATGAAATGTATTATAAACGCACATTCAATTTTTTACGGGTTAGACATAATAGACGTCGCTCTGCCTATGGCACTCTCCGCCATCTCGACAGCGGTCAAGAGCAGGTTGCTGATAGTAACATCAGAACAAACGTTAGGTGCCATAACAGTTTGTCTCAAGGCAAACAACACTTCCTTCATAGCGAGGGAATAGATACGATACCCTTCGAACTGTAAGCGTTGTATTTTTTCCTTAGGAACATGGCCAATAAGGTAACACCATGCCTCTGCTATCCGTTGTAGCGCCTCAAGAGTGGCTATTACATATCTGACGTTTGAATCCATTGTATCTATCAAATTGTTGGACTTAGGCAAGGCGACTTCTCCGTCGGCGTCATTACCGCCATTTAAGGTAGGAAATGAGTGCTCTTGACTCTCTACTGCATCGGCCGTACCACTTGCTGAGGAAAACTGGTCACAAATGGCTAACCCAAGGCTCCGTACCAGAGAGGTCAATGAGCATAGTAATACAGTGCTAAGAACCACGTCTTTTGCCTCTGTAAAATTGGAGCTCCGCAACAAGAGTGACATTGCGCTTGCCCATGTTGCGGTGCCGATGGAGTACAGTTCCGTGATTATGGTAGAATGCCTCAGAACGCATCGATGCAAGAACGCACAGATCTGTATTCGATGTTCGCAACGCGTTGTATCCACTAGAGCGAACGAAAGGAGTTGCTGCAGCACTCGGCGACGAAACAGTGTCTTGCAATCGTTTAGCAGGAAAGCTGAACCTAACAATACCTGAAGTATGAACGACAGGAAATGGATCCTTTCGGTCACACCTTGCACATTGAAACATTCAAAAAATAATGGAACTTCTCCCATAGATGGCTGGAATTTCGAAATGAAGTATTTGTTTCCAAGCTGGTAAAGAGGATCTTCTGGTTTGATGACATGACGAAACATCTGCGATGCTATCAACATAGGTAGAGCCGGGTCACCGGTATCGGTATAGAGTAGACACCTTTGTATGAAGAACAATACTGCGTGCACTTGATGTATGCCGAATAATCCAACACGTCGCAATTTGTATGGCCCGTCTTTGCCAGGGACCACAGATCGAACTATGGTAGCGTCCATCATATTCTGGATAAGTTTGGTGATGATCCCCAATGCTTTTATGGAATCTTTGCGAGTATCTGCGGACAATAGGCCAAGCGTGCATATCTCGACCACACCGTTGCGGACCACTTGTTCCATGAACAAGGGACTGAAAACCTCTCCAATGGCGAAGTCGAACTTGAATGACTGCATTTGTTCATATAACCGTTTCGCGGCGGCTTTGGCCTCCGGTAAAGAGAAGAATTTAATAAATCTGTTGGGAGCAGCTTCATCTGTATTTCCGTGCAACGCTCCCATGCTCTCGAATGCGCTGTTAAGTTCTTGCTTGTACTGATATAACTGATCGTAGAGCATGGCGCAGAGCCTTCCCAAAATAAATGGGATCAAATATGTTGTATCGTAGATGTAAGGATCCCCCACCACCAACTGTTCCAGATATTTACTGTGATTACTTAAGATCTTGTCAAGGCGTGTGATGGCCCGCAAGACCGTATCACTCCTATCGGACGCTTGCGGCGTTGTAGGTGGCCACATAATGGAGATGATGCGATAAGTATCTTTCAAATTCCCGCGATCGGCACTGCCTCCGGCTGGGAACGATAAAAGTGTCATTGATACACGTTTATTATTTAGGCATAGCCAATTAGAGCTGGCAGATACCATTGCAAACCCCGACTTCATCTTTATCCATCCACGGGAGACACCGTGGTTAATTGTTCTACGGCCGTACTGCTTTGTGCGTGTTGATCCCAATGCACCACTAACATCTTTGTCCGATATTGAACTATCTGCGTGGCATGATAGTTCAGAGATACATGCGAAGTCTTTAAACGGTGGTAGTTTCATACAAACCGACTTTGGGTCCTCCATCAAACCACCTAGGGTACGAACGAGAGCCATGATTATATCCCGCACGACTAAATCACTGTCAGAGTACGAACACCTATAACATCCTGCTACGGCCTCTAGCAGTCGACAGATGATTTCGCGGTCAATTTTTGTCATATCAGCATCCACATTGCAAATGTGACGTATCAACGACATCATAAATGTCACGAATGACAAAAATAGGTATGCTTCGATTGTATCTCCAGTAAAATGCTGATGACTGTTTAGTTCGCAAATCGCTTCGGTCATTTCCAACATTTGTGGCGATTGTAACAGTTCATATGCGATAGTCAGGTCAGATGTCGGTATAGCTGAGGCGAGGTACGATGCGATATCAAGCATGTATTTTGCGTACCCGAACTCACATGACAGAACATCGTCACATTTGTTGCACTCTATGGGCAATCTTACTGACTTCATCACGCCTACCAAGAGCTCTGGTGCATCGTATTCCACTGCGGATGGTGGTATCATGGTACACAACTTTGAAATAGTAAGGGCCATAGCTGTCTTGAGTTCGTCATCGGTATCAGCGTCAGCGCATATTTCACTCAACATGGCCAACATACGATCCTGGACCATAGAAATAGTACCTGAAACTTCGCATTCTAGTGAGAATCGGCGTTGCAAATAATAAAGTTGGGCCCAACGCAGATCGTCATCAAACTCCACTTCTTTGAATTCATCCGGTGTCACAATCGTCACATCATCGGAATCCAGTAGTGCCGCCATTATGGAAAAAAGGTTTGTATACAACCTTAATATGCCCATATTGATCAATTTTATCAGCACTGGACGTTGCTGCTCAGATGCCCATTCTTCTTTAACTGCGAGGATATGCTCGGGTGACTGTGATAAGCGAGCAATCAGAACATCGATGGTGATATTACCAAGCTCCTTGAGAGCCAATACGTCCTGATTGAAACTCTCGATGGCATTAATCGATGACGAGCATCCCATGAGATACTTGTTATCCACCACTGTGGGCACCGCAGAGGTTGTTGTTGTGGCGCAGTCTAAACGAGATTTAGTAGCACGTTTCCTTTTCCTGCCTCTACGCACAGTTTTCTTCTCTAGTTTCAGATCGTGTTTCGACAACACTGCGTGAATTACACGTTTAACGCATCCACTAGATACGCCTGTATTGGCTTGAGTACATACCCTAAGTATGTACTCTGCAGCTATTGCCGGGTCCACAGATGCTTCACTCCCCCGCTTCGTGAACTCCTTAACCAGATTCATTTGTCTGGTGCCGCAATCATCGCATTGAAGTTGGTCTGCGTCCTGACTAGATAAGTGTAGTAAGAAATCCAGCGATGCTCGCATAAAAAGGGGCCCTTTGAACTCTTTAGCGGTAAAACAGTTGAGGCACTTAAAGTTGACTGCAGGGTTATCTGCTGGTTTCGCAGACAGGCATCCAAAAAGCGCATCTAGCGGTGTTTCTGTGCAGTAGTTGAACAACAAATGGAAAACGTGGATGTCACTTTCAGTTTTGATGCCAGATATCCATGAATCGACCTCCTTCGGGAATACCCCGCTGTTTTCTATAACATATCTAACGCAACTTTTGCACCGCTCCTGGTAGTCAAATAATAGATTCAAATCCCATTTATGTTGCTCCATTGCCGATTTCAACTCCACATAGCGGCGCAGTATATATTGAAAGCAAATGTTTTGTACTTTGGTCAGAGCGACACCTGAATGGATTTCCCCGATACCTAAGCAAAATAGACAATTTGCCAGAGAGATGCCTAGTTTTATACTGCAAGCTAACTTAGAGGTATCCATATGGCCCTCATTTTTATCGTTGATTGCAGAAGTGAGCGTGTTCGCATTTTTAATGATGACATCTTCCTTCAAAAGCTTACAAGGATCGTACAAACTCTTTCCATCTCCAATTCCGACGACTGTACTGTAAAGGTACAGGCAATCTAGCCAGTCTGTAATTGGTTCGACAGTTTCATCAATACCCAAAATATGTTTTTTCGAGTCACCTGTTACCACAGCTCCTAATTCTGTAGATACCATGGAACGTGTTTCATTCTTGATGTTGATGGATAAGTTATCCTTTTCAACTTTTTGTTTCCTGCTTAAAGCTGTTTTAGCATTAACCAGTGTCTTGAAATCTGGGATTATGTCATACAGACGTTCAGAAATGGTGGTAGATGCGATAGAACGGGATCCCTGAGCAGCGGAGGCGATCAAGTATCTCATCAAAGCTGCCAGCATTCGCAGGGCACCTCGACTAGTCGACTCATCTCCAGATAGGAGTCCGGCATTAAAGAAGCTTGGGGTGAGTACTGGGGGTATATAAAGCAGGCAATCGTCCGGCGTCACGGCTAGTGTTGATGTGTGTTCAAACCATGTGGTCAGAAACTTGAGCAATGCAACGTATTCGAGGTCTCCATTATACTTGCATTTCATGGATGACATGTAGAGTGGGCCCAAGGCACGGTTCTGTTTTAGTATTGGTGAAACAATTTCGCCTGTTACCAGTTGTGCGGGATCAAAGATATTAAGCACGGTTGCCATTGTGGAAACATCAGATATGGAGTGGAGATTGTCAATGAATTCTGAGCACATATCCACGATGATCCTGGTCAGTCTTACTATCCTTTCTTGATCTTTTTCTTGTGTTTCTGTAACGTGGCCTATAGCGTGCGAGAGTGCAGTAGCTGTGGAGGATATTACTGAATGCGGTACATCTGACCACTTGGTATCACGAATAGTGAACGCTAGTCTGGGATATTGGGTAGTCATGAAATTTGACATGGCTATGATGAATAGCCGTATGGTACATATGGAGTCCATAAAGCCGTCATGTTTTACGTGAGCGAACACCTGACGTACTATATACGTCTGATCAATGATGTTGAACCCCTTTAATCCTAAGAGTAGCAAAATGCATAGCTGCTTTTTATGATTGGCGTAGCACAGCTCCAC